TTAATATATTTCATAAAAGTAAAAGAAAAACTCCATCCATCAATAAAAAACTTACCACAAGTCTGTTTCGAGAGAAAACCCAAGCTGATTTCTAAAAGAAAAAGAAAAAGAAAAAAGAACGGTTAGTATCATTCTAAATGAAAAAAATCCCGCCTACACATAAAAACTTACCACAAGAAAAAGTCCAAGCTGATTTCTAAAAAGAAAGAAAAAAGAACAGTTAGTACTATTTTAAATGAAAGAATCCTGCCTACCCATAAAAGCTTACTACGAAAGAAAGTCCAAGCCGATTCCTAAAAAAAAGAAGAAAGATAGTACCGTTCCAAAAAAAAGAATTAACAACCTATCCATAAAAACTTACCACGAGTCCGTTTCGAGAGAAAGTCTAAGCCGATTCCTAAAAAAAGAAGAAAAAAAAAATGGTTAGTACCGTTCCAAAAGAAATAATTAACAATACACCCATAAAAAACTTACCACGAGTCTGTTTTGAGAAAAGTCCAAGCCGATTCCTAAAAAAAAAAATGGTTAGTACCGTTCCAAAAGAAAGAATTAACAACACATCCATAAAAAACTTACCACGAGTCCGTTTTGAGAAAAGTCCAAGCCGATTCCTAAAAAAAAGAAAAAAAATGGTTAGTATCGTTCCAAAAGAAAGAATTAAACCCCATCCATAAAAAACTTACCACAAGTCTGTTTCGAGAGAAAGTCCAAGCCGATTCCTAAAAAAAAGAAAAAAGAAAAAATAGTTAGTACCGTTCTAAAAGAAATAATTAACAACACACCCATAAAAAACTTACCACAAGTCCATTTCGAGAAAAGTTCAAGCCGATTCCTAAAAAAAAATGGTTAGTACCGTTCCAAAAGAAAGAATTAACAACCCCACCTATAAAAAACTTACCACAAATCCATTTCGAGAGAAAGTCCAAGCCGATTTCTAAAAAAAAAAATGGTTAGTACCGTTCCAAAAGAAAGAATTAACAACCCACCTATAAAAAACTTATCACTAGTCCGTTTCGAGAAAAAGTCCAAGCCGATTTCTAAAAAAAAAGAAGAAAGATAGTACCGTTCTAAAAGAAAGAATTAACAACCCACCCATAAAAAACTTACCACTAGTCCATTTCGAGAAAAAGTCCAAGCCGATTCCTAAAAAAAAGAAGAAAGAAAAAATAGTTAGTACCGTTTCAAAAGAAGAATTAACCTGCCTACCTATAAAAAACTTACTGTAAGTTCGCTTGAAAAGTCCAAACCGAATCCTAAAAAAGAAGAGAAAAACGGAGTGGCTAGTACCGGTTCAAAGAAAAATATTAAACTCACTTTAAAATGGTAGTTCATAACTCGGGTAATTAAAATTTAGATTGCTTGCGAACGGGATTTACGTCGTCTTACTTCAGAGGTTTCCCTCCTGATCATCACTAAGCACTTTTAAAGGTTTAGAAGAGATGAAAAGCGAAATTCATCCTTATTTAGTAGGTTTTGCTTATTTTAAAAAATGGAAAGAGAGAGTAAGTCAAAGAGATAAGATAATTAAAGAGTTAGAGCAAAAAGGTCAACAAAGAGAAGGAGAATTTAAAAA